AGACAGACAGATCCCTATGGCTCACTGGCTAGCCAGCTTAGTTTATATAGTGAGATCCAGGTTGATGAGAGACCCTGTCTCAAAAAACATCTCAGTGGTTAAAAGTGCTTGCTGCTCTTCAGTTCTCAGAACCCACAATGTGTGACATACAACCAACCACCTGTAAATCTAGCTCCAAGCAATGCTATGCTCTCTTCTGGTCTCCATACCCCCCCACCCCACCTCATGGCATTCACATACATAAAGAAAAGGAATTTTTAAAAAGGTGGATGGTATTTGAAGATATCGAGGCTTTTAGCCTCCACATGTGTGTATGCACATGTGCATACATAAACACACAAGTAACTGTACACATATGAACACATACATTATTGGAATAAAGGAGTTATTGATATTATTGTTATTGATAACCATCAGCTATCAAAGCAATATTGGGGTTATTTGGCAAATTATAGTCAACAAACTGGTATGACTTACAACTTTATTGCTTATTCAATAAATTTTGACATTTTGGAGAGACACAGGTATGTCTTTTTATTCCTGACATAACATGCTCGTGGTATATAGAATTAAACACAGAGGAGGACAGACATGTAACAGGACAGCAGGACATGCCCTAGAGTGGGTATGACTGCTCAACAGAAGGGAATAATCACATTAAATTGTCTTTTAAAGAAACATTTTTGAGACAGTATTTTGTAATATAGCTCAGGCCAGTTTCACATTCATGATATTCATGCCTGATCCTCCCAATTTCTGGGATTATATTTGTTTGTGTGCATGCACATGTTTAAACACAAATATACATGTACCGGCATGTGTGTGAGTGTGGATATGACCAGGGCACGGCATCAGGGGACAACCTTGAGTGTTGGTCCTTGACTTCCACCTCGCTTGAGACAGTGTCTCTTTGTTGTACATTGATGGATATACCAAGCTACCTGACTCAGAAGCTTCCAGAGATTCTGTTTCTGCCTCCTGTCCTTCTGTAGGAGAACTGGGATCATAGATGCACGTTACTTATATGGGACTTATATGGACTTGTATGGGTCCTCGGGATCAGAACTCGGGTCCTCGCACTTGTGCTGCAAGCATTTTACCCGGAGATTCATCTCAATCTTGTTTTTTGATACATTTGCACATAGCTTGGGTTGACTTTGAATTCCTTATCTTCCTGTCTCTGCCTCCTGAGTTTTGGAAATATTGGCATGTGATACCATGTTATGTTTATGTGGTGCTAAGGATCAAACCAAAGGCTTTGTACATACTAGATAAGTACCCAATTCAGCTATATCCTCAGCTCCATAAGTGTCTTGACATTAGCTGCCTACAGGGTTTGTGGTAGCTTTTAGAGTTACATTGTTCAGGGGATGGAAAAAAATTAAGTAAAAATGTTTCAGTATACTTATTCTCATCTAAGAATCTTTCTCCTTATACATTTTTTTTAAAAAAAATTATGTATCATATACTTATGTTATGTGTTTGTGTGGGAGTGGTGTACATATGTCATAGCATGTGTAAGGACAACTTCTACGAGTTTGTTCTATCCTTCTACCATGAGTTCTGGACTCTAACTCAGGTTTGTGTAACAAGTGCTTTTACCCGTGAAACTATCTCATCAGCTCAGAAACTTTCCTTTAGTAAATGAAATCCTAAGGTGGTTTCTAAAGTACAGTTTTATAGGCTAATAAGATAAAACATAGATAAAAGGTCATCAAATAAATTCTTGCTGTACATAGATCACAAGGAACTTAGGGTACATTTGGGCTGTAAACATAGTTCAAAATATTGTTTGTAAGATTTTTCTGAATCTTAGCCCACAGTAGTAAGGGGCTCCTTTTCCTTCCCACATTCTCTTGAATTTCCTTGTGTTCCTAGGCGGCTTCATCTTCATGATTCAGTTCCCTATCTATAAAACTGTCATCACTCAGTTCACCCCCCAAAAAGCAAACAAGGTCTGTGTGTACCTGGCTCCTTATAATACTGGAAACTGATTGGAAGATCAGTTTCCAGAGAGAACATAGGCTTATGAGACCAGGTAATATGTGGAAGGATCAGATTTCCTGAAAGGAGTCCTTGAGAAGTCATACACTAAACTATGCAAGTGAAACCTGAGTTTCAGTGGAGACCTCAGGAAGAAGGCAATGTCGGTACTGCGGTACGTGCACTGAGGAAAACTATAGGCATAGGGCAGAGGCAGCCCAGAAGTTATAGGACGGGGCTTCCCAGGGCTATTAGAAATCAGATGATTCTATCATGTGTTTTAGGTGCCCGATATGGAGCTGCAGCATTTGGTGTTTTCCCTTCTAGGTTTCAGTCTTGCTTTGGTCTGGTCTTCTCTCTTTATTCTCTCTTCCTAAACTTTTGGAACTGGAATGTTTACTTTATGCCATTGTATATTGGAAGATGCATCAACCAATTTTGAAAAAGTGATAAAAATATGTTTTGGGGGGAGTGCTTTTATAATCCAAAATGTTTCCCCCTTTTTTTCTACTTAAAACCATATCAAGCCTTTCTATTGCTGTGGAAAAATCTTTTTGTACACTGTGAATATTTGTTACTCTCATTGGTTTAATAAAGAGCTGAATGGCCAATAGCTAGGCAGGAAAAGGTTAGACGGGACTTGTGGACGAAAAGAGAGCATGGGAAAGAAAGAAGGTGGGTTGCCAGCAAGACTCAGAGAGAAGCAAGATGATAATGCCATGCTGAAAAAAGATACCACCACATGGTAGAGTATAGATAAGAAATATGGGTTAATTAAAATTGTAAGAATTAGTTAGCAATGAGCATAAGCTATTAGCCGAGTAATTATAATTAACAATGTCTCTGTGTGCTTACTGGGGAGCCAGTGGGTCTGACAAAAAACTCCACCTATGTATTATAGTATAATTCAATATATAAATTGTATTTCTATATGTAATATAAAGTTTTTTGTAAAAAAGGTATAACTCACTTTTTATTTTACAGGGGGCTTACACATAAGAGGTAGACTAAGACATATAAGAGACTCTGAATTTACAGTTTTGAACAAATTTCTATTTGTTAAGATGCTGGAGACTTCTGGATATGGAAAGTACCCTGTGTATTATCAGTTGAATATGAGACTTTAGGCCCAAGGTTGTCAATTTGATAAGGGATAGACTTGTGCTGTCTAATATTTCCACCCCAATGAGATTTAGAGTCACTTTAAATACAACATTCTGGACATGTTTATGAGGCCGTTTCTAAAGAGGTTTAACTGAGGTGGGAAAGCATCCCTGAATATGTATTGAACTATTCCATAGGCTGTGGTTCTAGGCTAAATATAAAGGAGAAGTTGGAACACTAGCATTCTTCTATTTGATTCTTATTTGGATGCATTATGACCAGCCACCTCTCACACTTATCATGAAGGACTGTGAATTCAAACTGTGAACCAAATATGCCTTTCCTTCCTTAAGTTTCTTTTGTTGGATATTCTGTCATAGTGATTATAAAAGTCACTAATACACAGAGCAAAGCATATTTGCCCATGAAAATGAAGGGACCAAGATGCTCCAGGTGGGCAAGATAGCTGGTGTGTCCCTCTAGCTAAGGTGATGCTTGATGGATTCCCCATTATGGAGGTATGGCAGGGGACAAGCAACATCCTGAGCAATGCTTTTAGGAAGATAGTATCCAGATGAGGCACAGAGCAACAGTCTACCAGCTCTTTTTAGACAATTAGCTTTTACTCTAGAAAGTGAGAATGGGAATTAAAAAGACTAAAAACAAATATTGGGCAATTTTAGAGTATACAGAGCTGCAAAGACCAAATCCATGCACTGCATAGAAACTCTACAGAGAAGAAAAAAAATTAGCTTGCATCAGGGCTTTTTAAATGCCCTTGCTGACACTGCTAATTATGAAAAAGTAAAGTTTCATTTTTTTCTGGTTGATGTTTCTGAAACTTTAATTATTAGAATCACCTTTATTTTTTTCTGCATCTTCACATACTCTATGACTTACAGAAATATAACTAAACACATTTATTTTAACTATATAGTCAAAGTCATTTGCATGATACTATGTGGCAGACACTCATATCAGCACTTCGTGTATACTATCAGTTATTCTTCATGCCAACCCTGACAGGCAAATGCCACTATTATCAACACTTCAAAGATTGGAATCATTGATTTCTGAGAAGTTGAGTAGCATGTCATAGTCAGAGTAAAGATCTAAACAGAAATGAAATATTGCAGTAACAGAAGAAAATATAGGACAAATTAGAAAAGATGGGGTTATGAAACCTTTACACAATATTTAAATAGTAGAAGCAAAATTTAAAAAAAATATGAAATTTATGGCATCAAAATTAGGTATTTGTAGCCAGACAGTAGTGGCGTACTCCTTGAATCCCAACACTGCAGAGGCAGGTGGATCTCTATGAGTTCAAAGCCAGTCTGGTCTACTGAGTGTGTTTCAGGACAGCTGAAGCTACCTAAACCAATCAACCAACCAAACAAACAAAAATAATCCCCCCAAACCAACCAAACAACCAAACAAACAAAACTCTTCAAAATTTTAGGGATTCCTATTCAATATAGTGTTACATCAATGAAGTAATAAGTTGATAAATGTCATATGTGACGAATAAAGCATTACAAAATGAAAGTCTATCTCTTTTCCATCATGAGATAAGAGTGGTAAATGAAGTTATCAAACTAAGGGAGGTCTCCTGGGGGAAGCAGGTGGCAGCCACTGAAAATGGAACCACTAGGTGAACCGAGTTTCATGGTTAAACATGGTAAAATGATTCTCACATCACACATATTGACCCTGCTGTTAAGCAAAGACAAAGCACTTTGAAGTATTTTTCTAGACTAGATACAGAGGACTTGCAGGATTAGAAAGGGTAACATGGAGGTTAGTATACAGTACATATACTATATTATATTATGTTATAATATATACTAAGAGGCCTCTTCCCTTAGGGAGAAGAATATAAACAGGAAAGGTGAATGTCCTTCCCTATTTACTTGCCATAAGTCTTTGGCCTTAACAAATATAAAGTTCTCTCTAAGGACTTTCCAACCCAAAAGATAAAGCAGTGCCTCAGTAGATCTCAAGTACTTTGACCTTGAATTCCAGGATTTTCAAGAGTTCAGGCCATGCTGCGGGGGTGCAGTGGAGGAGGCATCTGTGATCTGCCATTGACTTCCAGATTCAGAGTATACACAGTTGTAGGCTTAACTGGTTCTACAATCATTGGGAGTAGGGTTCACTTTTTTGACAATCCTAATGGCCACAAACTCTACGTCTTGTGGGGCGTAAGTCCTTCCCTGGAACCTGTTGACCCAGTCTTTGGAATGTCACAATTTGTTCATACATCTTCTTTCTGACAGGAAGAAGATCAAGGCAAACATTAAAGAGTTGACATACTAAGCTACCTACAAGGTCCCTCTGATCTACAAGATGATGAATCCTCAGACAGTATCTGTCTTGGAGAGTTACACTGTCTTTTCACTCTCTCATAGATCTTTGTTGGCATGCAGGGGTCTGAATTAGAAGCCAGCAGAAATCTCATTCTCCCCTGTGGATGGAGACATGGCATTGGCCCTCTGTGTACGGTCCATAGAGAGAAAGGGCAGCCATTTTGCCAATGGTATGGCCGTATGCCTTTGAAACAGCTGCCGGAGGTACTTCCGGAACCGCTCACCCACAAAGACATAAATGACTGGGTTGACACAGCAGTGAGTGTAGGCAATTGCTTCAGTTACCATCAAGGCCAGGTCCAGCTGTTGGCTTCTCTCACACCCGCTGGTGAATAGGAAGTCTTCAAAAGCCGAAACAAATGCAGCCAGGTAATAGGGGGTCCAGAGGAGGAAGAAGAGAAGTGTGATAACAAAAATCAGACGCATAGCTTTGGCCTTCTTCTTATTGGGTCTTCTGTGTAGAACATTGATAATCCTTGTGTAGCAGATGATCATGGCCAAGAGAGGTAAAATAAGTCCAAGGAGGTTCATTGTTAGAGCCTGAAACCTCAAAAAATGTTTCAGGCTCTCCTGGGGCAAAGCTGCTCTGCAAGTATGGTAGGTGAACTCCAACTGGGCCTTGAAGAAATACAAACAAGGAATGGAAGCCAAGATGGCCAGGACCCAGGTGATGATGCTGGTGATGATGCCAAAAGTGACAGTCCTGGCCCGCAGGGCAAATACTGCATGGACGACAGCTAGGTACCTATCAATTGTAAGCAGCGTGATGAAAAACATGTCACTGTATAAGCCCAGGTAATAAAACCCAGAGAGGAACTTACACATGGCATTACCAAAAATCCAGTCTCCTTTTATTATATAGTCAATCCAGAAAGGTAATGTGAAGAGGAAGACCAGATCAGAGATGGCCAGGTTGAACAGGTAGATGCTGGTCATGCTCTGAAGCCTCTTATGCTGCATGAGCACCAGAACCACCAGGATGTTGCCTATCACACCAATGATGAATACCAGGGAGTACAGGGGGGTCAGCACTGTGACTCCAAATGCCCGCACATCCATGCTCACACATAAGATACCGGGAATGTAGTCATTCTTGGTGACTGTGTTGTAGTAGGGCTCTGTAATGGCTGAAATATCCATTGTGAACTCTTCTACGAATCAAGGAAAATGGCCTCTATATTTACTTCGCTATCAAATGCATAGGGCTCTGGAAAACAAAGACAAGTAAGTGGATACATTTCTTCAACCAATTGAGCTGTTTACTAGTACCTAGAGTTTATCAAAATCTGAACTTGAAATAGTAAAAAGGGGTTCCAATGTCCTTTCTGCCCACATTAACCCAGTAATCTAAGAGAGTCATAGAACAAACAAATAAGTGTGCAAATAATTTACTCAATGATTTAAGCTGTGAGTATATAAGAACACAAAAGGGTGAGTATATAAGAACATATTATCATACAGTGCAAACTAAGGATTCCTAAGTGACCCCCCACCGCCCAAGGGCTTAGACATTGGACTTAGTATTCAAATCTCTAGAGGCTCCACTTAATTCTCATTTTAGAGATGATGACCCAGAGGTGCAGAGTGTGGGAACTGTGACCCAGGGCACAGAATGATGAGAATGAGAGCTGGATTGAAACCTGGGATGCTCAAAATCAGCCCTGCAACTGTTGGACTTTCCTACCTCTAAACAAAGTGCTGGCTCTGCTCCTGGAGTCTCTACAAACCTTCTAGGAAGAGGGACAGTCTTGGCAAAGAGTTAAAAAACTTAACAGCTTCATGAATTTCATTCTATAAAGATTCTCAGTGAGAGGAGCAATGGTCTTGTCAGCACTTGAAAAGGTTTCCCTCCCCTCCCCTCGCCTCCCCTCCCCTCCCCTCCGCTCCCCTCCTCCCTTCCTTCCTTGCTTCATACCCACCTACCTACCTTCCTTCTATTACTGTTGCCTAAAAATCAGGCTACAACTGTCATTTGATAGATAGAGCCATGAATGTTCTGCAATAAAGAAATTCCCCCTCTCTGACTCTATTATAGCTGAGAGAGTGAATTCCTACGAGAACAGCCTATCACTTTATAGGTTAAGAATCAAGGTAACAGGCTGGTTGTTTAACTTAGGCTGATTCATATCACATGTCCTTTATTCGTATAGGTAGCTTTACAGTTAACTCAGTATCCTTCTGTGAGCACCATGAGAAGGCTAAAAGGAGGGCATGACCTGGAGACAGAAATGAAAAATGGGCTCAAGGAGGAAGAGATGCTGAGATCCAAAAGGTGACACCTCATAGGAGCTAGATGGAAGATGGGATTCTAATGCAATGAGCTCTGAGGTATTATTTTTTTTAACCTGGATTGCCTTGAGATAAACAAAAGACCCAATAGATAGCTTACCACTATAGAAACTTCTTCCACACCATGTATGATTGTGTACATTTTGAATTCTTTACAGTTAGCTTTTTGAAGAATCCTCCAAAAGGGATATGGGCTTTGTTGTAACATACTAGTTCTGTGACCTTGGATGAATTAACCTGTTTCTTTGAGCCTAAATTCCTAATCTGAAACCAGGAAGATTAATGAATGCATACCTTGCAAAGATGCTATGAAGCTATGTGAAAAATGTCCCTTCATCCCCAGACAGTGAATATCAGGGACCTGGCTGTCATGTAGAGGTCCTGCTCTAAAGTCTGTCATTACCAGATATTCTGACCACAATGTTTGTATTCCTCCTCTCCCTACTAGGTTTCTTCTAGGTAACATAGAAAGTGGTTTTTCTTGATTGTCAATGACAGTTCTTCCATATGAATCATGCCATGAAATCTCTAGAAAGCTGGGCTTACAGAATTAGAAAGTCAAGTTGTAGCTACAGAGCCTGAGGAGAGTTTGGGAGAAGGGTGGAGAAAGGATAGTAAACATGACAGTCCTGAACTGAACAGCAAGACTAGTCTCATGCTCTATAGCACATATAGTAAGGTGACTGTGGTTGATAACACCTACTTGAATATTTCAAAATAGCTAAAGAGGATTATCGAGGTATCCAGGTACCCAGAGACATCCCATTCCTCTGGCTGACCATTACACGCTGTGCACATGTACTGAAATGTCCCCTGTATCCTTTAAATATGCAGAGGTGGCACATGTCAAATAGAACCTAAAAGCTTAGAAAATAAGTAAACACTTCAGCAAGTTGTTACTGATCAGAGTTTAGTATTTGACCTGAATACCTATCAGTAAAGCATGCTGCACCTGTTCCATCAATCCTGTAATCACCCTGGGCTTCTACTTTGCTCCCTTCTGGGGTCCTTAGAGAATGTTTCCTGATTATAAAATCCACACCTGAACAGTGGTCTTTGGACATTAAGGCACATGACAGAAAAGAAAAGACTATTCTGCTTCCCTTTTGTCAAGAGGGGTCCCTTCATTTCCTATCAGCTCTGTCTCTGTGGTCCCCCCTTCACCTCTTCACTGTCAGCCCTCAATGGGGAAACTCAGCTGGCAGTCAGGGATGACTGAGGCAGAGATTTCTGCTTTCTGCTGCTCCTGCTGGTGCTGAAGGGGGAAGACACTCAGCTTGGCAATCAGGACTTCTAGCTAGGTTGGCAGATTTATAGCAGAGTAAACAAAAGTTGGGGAGCAGTATCATCTTGGGCAAAGTGGTTCTCAGGAGCCCAGATCTTTGTGCATTCTCGCAAGGTGAAGGCAGGTTGAGTTCAGCACTGTCAGGTGCCATATTCAGCACCACCTGCCTACTGAGGGACCCCAGCTTTATCTGCTCTCTCTAAGTTGTTAGGTTGCAACAGTTCCAGTGCACACTGCTGCTAAGGAGACATGACCCTGGCTGAGGCTGGAGGAGAAACAGAAGGCCCATGCTATCACTGATTCTCCCATGCCTGTGAATAGCTGCTTGTAGAAGTCTGCCCCAGGGCCCTTTCACAGTGCTCAGGTATACCTCTAGATGCTGGAATCTTCCATTAATAGTGTCCTGTAGCTTGCTCATTTGTGAAGTGCCTGGGAAGAGATGATAAGAAGTATCCAGGCCCAGATGATGCCAGATGTTTGTTGTGGCTCATAAGATTCAATTGTGTGCATCTGTTCCATGTCCACACAGCATGTGGACAACTTGTAACTGGCCACCATAGAAATCAACAAACATTACCAACCAGGGCTCTCTATTTGAGGGAGAAGCCAGTTTTGTGTATTTCCTATCAACTCACTACCCAGGTCTTTTTGATTGAATTACCCAGAACTGTCATGCATCCTAATGGGGGAACTACAGGAGCAATAAATGTTGTCTATGAAAACTTCCATTTCTTCTTTGAAAAATCTAACACTCCCTCCAAAGACTTCTAAGGCATGCCTATATTTAGTTATCACAAATATATACTTTCTATGAGCCTTTGTCCTTGAGTCTCATGCACTCTTTTCCCAGAGTATCCAGATAGGGTCAAAAGGACTTTGCCTCTTGGCTTTTTGCTTGGGTAGTGTTACTTTTTTCTTTTCCAAACCCATATCATGTATCATCCATGACATTTCAAGAGGGTAGAACAGACCCCACCCTACATGTACATATACACATGCTCAGTCCTTAGTTTTGCCATGGCATATGTATATAGTGGAGAGGTGTCTATTAGGTGAGAGAAGCATGTAAAAGTCAATATCTACCCATATATTTTTTTTTGTTAGTTAGGTAATTATAGAGCTCAGACTGTGCCCTGCTGTAAGTTACTCTGAGAGACAGATCCTTGACATGTAAACAGGTAAGTAAAGGGCTAACATAATAAATATGGCAAATTTCTGGTTTCTTCTTCATCCTTCTGATCTGAGACAATGGCCAGCAGGGACTTACTTCTGGCTGACTGGTCCAGATTGGTCAGATATGATAAAGCCATTCATGAACATGTATATCTGAAGTTGATGACTTATCAGCCCTTTTCTTTGTTCAAGTTGACTAATCCAACATATGTGGACATCCCAGGTCACCCAAAAATGCTTTTAAATCCCATCCCTCCAGTGGATGTCTCCAGATCTTCTTTCCATTTATTGAGGTGTCCTTTCTGCTCTGCTATGTGTGGTGTGCCTAAACTTAACTCTTTGTAGATGTTGGATTTAAGGTTTTGTTACATGATGGCCTCAGGCTAGTATACTAGTCTCTGAAGGTACACTTCTTACATGTCACTATCACTTCTTCTGCATTCTAATACCAGAGAAACTCACAAAATCAATCCACACTCAAGGAAGAACTATAGAGTCACCATGTAAAAGTCTGTACAAGGATGAGAAGATTTAAGACCACTATTTACCTTCTACCCCAATGCTCAAGTTTATTTCAGGTCTCTAGCCAAGGAATTCCTTGAACTCTTCTATTCTCATGATCAGCTCCTGGATCTTTCTATCTCCAATATCTGCAGCATTTCACAATCTCTGTTCCCAGAATCCTAGACCCTGACCACTCCCTTCACTGTCCATATTTTGTAGCACCTTGATGCCAAAGGCCTTTGACACTAGTAGGACCTGAATGCACAGATGTTCAAAATTTCCACAGACTTTCAGTCTCCCCATATATTTTTAATCCATAATTCTAAAACCCAAGAGTGGACAATAAAACCAATGCCCCACATAAATTCTCAAATGCCTTACCTTTTTATGTTCTTGTCATGTTCAATTAACAAAATCTCAGACTTCATTAGATCTAACTTCCTGAACCAATGAAATTGGATATTACTGAGAAAAGTCACATAGCCATAAGGACTGGTATCACTCTATGGATGAGACATATTTAAAAGAGTCTATTAA